TAGGATAAAATATACCACATCGTCAAAAGGCTAAAATATACCACAACGTTAATAGGCCAAAATATACCATATCGTCAATAGGCTTAAATATACCACATCGTCAATAGGATAAAATATACCACAACGTCAATAGGCTAAAATATACCACAACGTCAAAAGGATAAGATATACCACAACGTCAATGGGGTAAAATATACCACATCGTCAATAGGCTAAAATATACCACAACGTCAATAGGCTAAAATATACCACAACGTCAATAGGCTAAAATATACTACAACGTCAATAGGCTAAAATATACCACAACGTCAATAGGCTAAAATATACCACAACGTCAATACACAAGGTAACAATTACCACAAAGTCAACTCATAAGTACGAAATATATTACACATGGTCATTACATGGACAAAATATACCAAAGTGTCAACACACAAGGTTTAAAGTAACATAAATTAAAAAGTATCCATGTGGTTTAGTACATATATATGCATACAATTATATTTTAACAAATTGGAAAGGTGCAAGACCAAGTTCTATAATGTTCAAACACTTAATTCTGCAATTTCAAATCCATTTAAATATTTATACAAACAATAATAAATTAACGAAAAATTGGGAAAAAAATGCTTATATTATTATATTTACATTGCTGTTGTTGAATCAAAAGGGCTGAAATGTATGCGGTTCACAGTACCATACACACTCACGTCACTGCTTATACCTAAACTTTAAACGGATAATGTCAAGCACACATCACACAAGCTTGTCAAACGATAAGCAAACCCTTCGAGGGCATCCATTGATTTTCAATATTTTACCTGAAAAGAAAATCGTTTTAAGTATTTATAAGTATTTACTTATACCACTTGAAACGAAATGACGGGTGGTTCGACAAGATTCCCGGTTCAGTAGAGCACGCGGGTAAGCTTGTAAGTACTCATTTCACATGTCTTAAGTAATTTAACGTCGATTTTTGTATGTAGTATTGTACTGGAAAACAAAACACAATCAATATCAAGTACACTCCACTGTGGCATGCCAAGTAAGGAGTTATTCCTTAGGGATCACCTATTGGTATTGATTGTGTTTATGTGTCAGAGAAAATGTGGAGTATTTATTTCTCCACTCAATCCAAAATGGGTTGATGTTAGCAATATGTTCCAGAGTATACTAAATTAATTAAAGCCCCCAGGGAAATTTCCATTACTTATTTCTGGTATTCTCATTAATTTTAAATGAAAAACTGCGGTGACAAAACGTCGATTTGTTTTTCACACTTAACAACAGCCTCCGACAATACGGATCCATACTATCGCGTGTCAAACGTTAACTACAAATATAAATTAATGCACATATATTTACAATTATTGAATACAAATATGAAATTATTGCAACGTTTGACACGCCATATAATACAGCGTGAAGTGGTACAATACCTACGCTTTAAATAACATAAACGTTCGAGCAAAGAAACTTTATTGCAACCTGTCAAAGTAAATCGATAGCTGTCGCGACATCTGAACATCGGTGTTTCTCTTCCCATTAATTACCTGGGGAATAGTTTTTATATGACTACCACACAATCATCATTTCGTAAAATTCTTATTTGTTCAACAAACTATTCAAAAAAGTAAACATCGAAACAACTGCTGAGACAAACAAGTACATGTATTTACTATTGTGTTGTTGGCTCGCTCCTTTTTTAAGCCACAGCTACTGGATATTTGGTAAATGCATTAGCAAAAACCTATTGGACTAGTAAGGAAAGAAAATAATGATTAACTGTGAAATAAAACAAACAAAAACAATATATATGTATATGTATCGCAAATCAAACAGAGATATCCCACGTCATACTCCGTGTTAGCTTTTTCAATCTCGTTCCGTTTTCTGGTAATCTTAGTGTCGGGCTAAGATTCTGGAACATCCCATCTTCTGCTTACGCCTCGGTTGGGATTATGTTACATAATCCTAGCCCTCGATAATTCGATCCAGCTCAGTTACATGTACCAGATTTATTAGTACATTACTTCCTTGTCAGTGTTCGAATGGATATAATGGTATTGATCAAACTGAAAATACGTCCATATGTATTAGACATTTTAGGTATAATGTTTAATTATTCTAGTAAAAGGACACACGAATTGCAGAGAGTATAGTTTGAAAAGAGGCTGTTGAACCCCTAAAGGTAGATCGTACAGATATAAGACACGTGTAGGGGCTTGTTTATGTGGAACATTTGGTTTGTATGTTTTTAAATGTGACATTTTCGGGTATAAATCCTAGCGGACCTGCAAATCTTTATATCGCCTGAAAACAGCATCAAATTACTAGGTCCGACCTTATTTCATAAACGAATAACTCGGGTCCAGCCGATTCAACCGTTTGAATCGCAATAAACGAAAGCGGCCCAGGTGATACAGTTTGACACAAACAATAACACTGCATCATGAAGCTGGACTCATTGGACAGTGATGTTAGCTGCCAAGGAGGCGGGGATCCAAATTAGTGTGGAAAGTGAACAAAAATCATTTAACTGTCTACTAGGATGGTTGATTCTCTACTCCTGACCCATTTAATAATATATCCAGAAAAGCTTCAAAGTACGCTTTCCTGATTTTTCATAATTGACTTATTTTAAAGTTTAATATAAGGGCTTTTGAATAGTGAATTGAAGGACTTTTCCGTTGCTGGTGTTTCTGCTCCTGTGGTTCAGTAGACTTTGCTTCAAAGTCAGAGTGCGCCAGGCTGACCGGTCTTATGCAGTCTCTTCCCATGGTGCAAGGGCGGTGTTACTTCAGGGAAGCCTTCAGAGTGTCTTTGTAGCGCTTCATTTGTCCTCCATGGGAGCGCCTGCCTTTTGACAGCCCACCGTTCAGTAGCCTCTTTGGTAGGCGTTTGTCAGTCATGCGGCATACATGGTCTACCATTCTATGTTGAGAGCACGCCCGCATTGAGTGAATGCTCTCCATCAAGGACCCTCTGGAGAACCCTTGTGTCTGGAATTTTGTCATGCCAATTTAATGTACAAAAGTAATTACAAAAGAAGCATTTCATGTGGAATGAGTTCAGCAGCCTGGCGTTCCGGCTATATACTGTCTATGTTTCACTGGCGTACAGCAAGGACAGCAGTTCCACTGCACGAAACACCTTGAGCTTGGTCTGCAGGTTTATTCCCCTTATTTCGCAGATCCTGTTATGGAGATTGCCGAAAGCCGCACTGGCCCTGGCAACCTGTATTCGATTTCTCTGTCGATGAGGACCGATCATGATAGCGTGCTACCAAGGTAGACAAATTCGTTTGCCATTGCAAGCTTTTGGCGACTGACCGTGATGTTTGGTTCTCTGTAAGGGGTTTCATGAGCTTCTTGTTGCATTAAATCAGTATTTTTCATACAATTTGTAAGACCGAAGTCGTTGCAGGCTTGGAGAACATGTTTATGCTTTGCAGCTTATCGGACTATGAGTACGCAGTCGTCAGCGAAGAAAAATGTCAAGTCTGTGTCCTCCTGGACTTTGGTTTTGGCCTTCAGCCTCCGTAAGTTAAATAGTCTCCCATCAGTTCAGTATTGGAAACCAACTCCAACGTCTCCATCTCGAAAGGCGTCTATCAACAAGGACGAAAACATCATGCTTAAGAGTGTGAGTGCTAGTACGCAGCCCTGCTTGACACCGTTTGTTACAGGGAATGGTTTTTAGTACTCCCCATCAACACGCAATCTTACTTGCACTATGTCTTGAAACTGCCTGATCATGGAGATGGACTTGATGGGGCATCCAAACTTGGCCACAGCCTTCGCGGCAGATGGTATGAAAGGCTTAGTCAAATCCACAAATGTTGTTTTACCAACTCTTTTACACATATTATGAGGTACAATCAGGTAAAGTAGTAATGTATATGTAGGAGGTCGATATCACCAGCATACGAGACGATTAACATCGTAATGCTTACGTAATGTTATACATGAAGTCTCTACTGTGTGCCAGGTGTCCCAATCTACTGTGTCCCAGGTGTCCCAATCTACTGTGTCCCAGGTGTCCCAATCTGCTGTGTGCCAGGTATCTTAATCTATTGTGTGCCAGTTGTCCCAAAAATCGCCCACAATCACTTACTTATTCACCTTTGAAGCAAGTTATCTATATCTTGTTTAATATTGAGTATGGGCAAATTTAAAGTGTCGCAAGACCTACCTGAGTAGCGATACATTTGCCGCAAAGTTGCATAGGAGCCAGCCATTTTGATAGTTTAACACTTTTTTTACAATAATGTTTATAATGGTTCTGTAGCACCTCTTTGTCAGCAAAACAATCTAAAGCAATAAGTGCGATGTTTTGGCCATTCTTTAGGGTATGATGGTTGCATGGACTATATAGACGGAGGTATTGTTAACCAAATGTTGAACTTAACCATAAAACATCTTACATTGCTCCCTAAACATCATGTTAGATCTAAACATACATCATGTAATGTGTTCTTGGGTCCCTATAGCTCGATATAAACAATACAATGGAGGTTTATATCAGAGAGTAACAACTAATACAATGACTTTAACATTAATCGGAGAAAATATCAATTCAATCAAAATGAGATCTTCGATTCGCTCCTGTTTACTGTTCCGTCAGACATCTAATTTTAATTAGATTTAGAAAATATGAAATTAGTACGGCAATAAATATTGATTCTCATCAACATTCTTCCAAGTTTTTATATGTAACTTCTCAGTTCTGTTTTAACTGACGGTATACTTGATTAAATGTGATCATCGTGCTAGATAAACTTAATTAAGCATACGTGTATACACAATTTTACCATTTTTTCATTAAGATCACATATGTATAGCATATCATCAGCTCTGAACACACGTTAACATTTGGTGATTCTAGCTATATACTCGGGTACATACGTACCATTGAGGATCAATACAAGCTGTTGGCTGGCATATAGGGTCACCTACCATCATTTAGTATCGGCATTCTCAGGGGACTACCCGGCTTAATCCGAATCATCCTGGGGATCTAGCGCTGACAATCGACGGCGACTATCACATGGTGAAATGTTCGTTAAGATACAGACGATGTTTCCGGGATCTTGTTTTGGTGTATTACGGTGTGTAATTTACGTGCTGTCGACATCAGCAATAGGGGGTAAGTTAATTGTAACACATACAAACGTGTTTTAAGCTTCTTTTTATATGAATATTACAGTAATATTTAGACTTCATTAGTATATTTATTTGTATATTATTAATATTCTGCTACCATTAACCACCCACCACCTGCCGTAGGTCGGGGGTTCCACCGCCAAAACCTGGCACGTCCGTAAATGACCAAAGCTTTTAATAGGACTTAAAACACAAACAAACCAAACCAAATAAAAAGATAGAATGACACTTTAAAATATTCGTCTATAAGTTAATATATTTAAGTGTTCATTAAGAAATATTTAACATATATGCGTGTATCATACTGGAATATATAATCAGGGCGAGAAAATATCGCTTAGGACATTAATTATTCCCAAACATTTTCGAGAATGTAACGTATTCCACACTATACAAACATATTTTGTTTACAATATTATTATTTATATCCATTCCACCGAGTAAAATGTAATGGAGGTGTGGGTTCGTGTCTACCTCAATGTCACTACGCCTATGAAATGTAAGGAGAGCTTGTTAGGCTGCCTTTTGTACGTGTAAAACATTGTCTCGCGATGTCTATATCTTTATTTAAACAACAAGCTGCGCATGGTATCATTTCGGACGTTGTTGGCAGTTTCCATTTTGCCTGTTTAACCTGCACATATTTGGGAAATTCAATACAAACCTCATAGTTTGTTGATTCGCAGGTCAGGAAAACAAACAAACTGTATGTTGGTAGTATTCAGATGGCCTTTGAATTTTCATTTTGTTGTATAGAAAGTTAGTTATAGTTCACCTGTAATATTAAAATATAATTCGAGGCAGTGCAAAGAAGGGCTGCTATAGGGATACCTGGATCCCGGGATTCATCACATCGAAATCCGAAAATCGAAAATCGACAGACTGCGACAATTAAAGTGTCCAACCTTAATAAGAGCGAGAGGGGACTTAACTAATGTCTAACAAGCAATATTTACGGATAGAAAAGGAATAAATATATGAAGATAGGGGAAAATCAATAAGACTAAGACAACGAATAAGGCGTCGTCCAAAGGAAATATGTAACAACATTCTGAACTCGATATATGTAAGAAGTTTTTCATCGCTTGTCACTACCTGGAACAATCTCTCGAAAGGCGTATTAGCAAAAATCATCGATAATGAATAGTTATTGCACCATCATAATTATACACAAACATAAACCTCCGGCTTCAAGGTTTCGTTATTGTACCATCATTATTATACACAAACATAAACCTCCGGCTTCAAGGTTTCGTTATTGTACCATCATTATTATACACAAACATAAACCTCCGGCTTCAAGGTTTCGTTATTGTACCATCATTATTATACACAAACATAAACCTCCGGCTTCAAGGTTTCGTTATTGTACCATCATTATTATACACAAACATAAACCTCCGGCTTCAAGGTTTCGTTATTGTACCATCATTATTATACACAAACATAAACCTCCGGCTTTAAGGTTTCGTTATTGTACCATTATTATTATACACAAAGTAAAGACTCCGTCACTGAGACTTAATCTTTGTGCCATCGTTATTATCAAACACAAACTAAAGACCACGTCTGTTTGGTTCCTCTATTGTATCATTATTATTATTATCATTATACACAAACAAAGGACTCCGTCTGTAAGGCGTCATTATTTAACCATTTTAGTACATAAACTAAGGACTCCGTCTGCCTTCCGTCATTATTGTACTACTGTTATTTTACACAAGATGAATACTCCGTTTGTAAGGTCATTATTGTACTAATGTTATTATACACAAGATGAATACACCGTTTGTAAGGTCATTATTGTACTACTGTAATTATACACAAGATGAATACTCCGTTTGTAAGGCGTTATTTTGTATTATTATTATTTTACACAAATTGAAGACTCCGTCTGCGAGGCGTCATTATTGTATCATTATTATGCACAAAATATAGATTTTGTCTGCGAGGCGTCATTATTGTACCGTAATTATACACAAACTAAAGACTCAGTCTGTAAGGCGTCAATATTTAACCATTTAAGTACATAAACTAAGGACTCCGTCTGTAAGGCGTCAATATTTAACCATTTTAGTACATAAACTAAGGACTCCGTCTGTAAGGCGTCATTATTGTACTGCTGTTATTATACACAAGATGAATACTCAGTTTGTAAGACGTTATTTTGTATTATTATTATAATACACAAACTAAAGACTCAAGGTCATTATTGTATCATTATCATACACAAAATATAGATTCTGTCTGCGAGGCGTCATTATTGTACCCTAGTTATACAAAAACTAAAGACTCCGTCTGTTACGGCACGATTTCTCACCCGTGCGAGAAATTTTGCAATCTATATGGGCATAGGTGACACGATTTCTCACCCGACACGATTTCTCACCCCAGCTCTATATCTCAGTCCTATGAGTCATAGACTATCAAACAATTAATACGTTGACGTTTGATAATTCTGACGAAATTACAAACTGAATGATGTCTTTAGAGAAAGGCCGTGTCATTGCATGGGTAGGGAATCATCGTGAACGGATCATTGGTCAGTGAGATCCGTGTTGTTCCGGTCATTAGATCATCGGGTTCGCATGCAATAAAATGGACCTGTCTTTTTTATGAAATATTTTGGACAACATGCACAAACAAATCAATTAAGTTAAATGATAATTAATATGTCTTTATAGAAGAATGTTTTTTGTATTCATTATTTATCTGTGTAAGGATTTTAAATCAACTCGAATGATGTATTTCGAGATAATACAGTATACGATCTACTCGAGACGTACATCCTTTGTGCAAAGATTATACCGTGGCGTTCCGGCGGTCTTGAAGCCTTTCGATTCACAATTTAATTAGTAACTTGTGTCACACATTTAATGTGTGTCAAAATAAAATAGTCCAATGGAAATATTGAAAACGGAATGTAGCTGTACATGTACTTCTCTCCACATTTCTTCCAAACCACAATTCTTCCAAATTATTGATAAAATGTGACTTTTTATGGATTTATCACTTCTTACACTTAACATGAAACTGTATTTGAGCACAGGATCTGAATCTAAGTTACAATCACTTTGACCTTAAAAACTTTTAAAACCCCTATTGCACATCTGCATATCACAGTGTATCCCTCTGCCAAATTTGTAAAATATCTGTCCGAACTAAGGACTGTAACACCCCCCTCTCCCCTTCTGTGTTTAGTAAGAGTGACATTGACATTTGAAAATGTTTAAATCCCTGCTTAGTGCACATTTAAATATCACATTGTATCACAATGTAAAAGTTCAGAAAGATAAGACTTTTTGGAACCGAGATCAGGAAGAACCACCCGGACTATTTTAGTAACAGTGACCTTGACCTTACGATCAAATTAAACCCCTAATGCACATCTACATTTTACAGTGTATCATCATGTAAAATTTCAAGAAGAACATTTGAATTCTGAGATAAGGAGCGTACCCCCATGATCTATATTTAGAAACTGTAATCTTGACCTCAACCTTAAGCACTTTTTAAATCTCTATTGCACTTGTACATATCACCTTGTATAACCATGTTAAATTTCAAAAACGGTTAGACTTTCGGATTCCGAGGTAATGGCCATAAAACTTAACCTGCGTCTTCAATATGTTGCTGTAAGTAGGTCTGAGATTACGCAGCTGGGCTTCAAACTAGGTGAGGGAAGCAGGGATGAAGCTGTCAAGAAAAGAAACCTTCACGATCGAATCGTTATTTGTTTAAAGACAGCACATCTTCGTTATGTGTGAAAATGAAATTAAGGAACTGACAAGTTTTCATTTTACCTGTTCTGAAAATTTTTCTTAATTCATATAGTTTTATATGAAATGGGAATACCAACAGTCTGCTGGAAATACCGTCGATCAGGAATTGAATAATTCTCACGATTTCATCCTCATTGCATTTCATCCTGGTTATGGGGCAAAGAAGTAATTCCAATAGTGTGGACAAGTTTAGGTTGTCAAATTTTCGGAGCGATCCGCTCCTTTATCAAGACACAGTGAGACAGAACAGTGTCCAAATATGTGTTGCTCTCCGTTGAGATATCCGCTGTGAATTTGATGGTGACGTGGAACGCGTTAGCGTACTCAATAAACTCGTCAAGGGAGTCCCGACCCGATGTCCATTTGATTTCAACGTCATCGATAAATCTCAACCAGCTAAATGGCTTAATTGGAGCAGATATTAAAAGTTGGGCTTCAAGATGTCCCATAAAAACATTGGCATATGAGGGGACCATCTTAGTACCCATGGCTGTACCGCTAACTTGTATGTAGTTATCCTTATTGAATGTAAAGTTGTTAAGTGTGAGGACAAGTCTCAGTAAATCTACCAGGCTATCAGTCGATGGGTGTTTGGTACTGCGCCGTTCCCATGCCTCGCGACAGGCTGCAATGCCGCCGTCATGCGGTATGTTAGTGTAGAGGGAAACGACGTCCATCGTAACTAACAAGGTACCTTCTGGTAAGTTCTTAGCAGGTGTTTTGTTAAGATAGTCTGTGGTGTCTTTTAAAAAAGATGGTAAATGTTCTACGAATGGTCGGAGGTGGAAGTCAACAAACTGGGAAATTTGCTCCATCGGGTGATTGATCGAGTTAATGATGGGTCTACCAGGGTTCCCAGGTTTGTGAATTTTAGGAAGAAGATAAAACTTTCCTGCTTGAGGGTTTTCGGGGCGCAGGCATTTCGCGGTATCGTTGTCAATATCACCCTTCTCTAAAATTCTATTGATGGTATTATTAATCTGCTGTGCGTGTACGTGCGTCAGGTCACTATCGACCTTACGATAAAATGTCTCGTTGGAGAGTTGCCGATTAGCCTCTTGGATGAAGTCGTTCCTGTTCATAATAACAACTGCACAGCCTTTGTCCGCTGGCTTGATGACAATGTCCAAATTATGTTTCAGGGCTTTGAGTGCCTGGCGTTCCAAAGGTGACAGATTGTCCTTGGTTGTCTGCGTGTTGT